CCCCAAAACCCCAAAACCCCAAAACCCCAAAACCCCAAACTTCAGTCCTTCGGTTGAATATTGATAACAAATTTATACACAGTTTGAGCTTCAACCTCTGAAGTTTATTCAGAGATAAAGCAATCCTCGCATTACCAAAGAAAACTCAACTTGGAATGGAATCAGTTCAAAGTTGTTTCAGCGTAAAGGCAATTGAAGTTTCATCATTTGAGTGAGCACAAACCAAGCTAAACTTTTCTTACACAACGATATTTGGGGTCGAAGATATCGAAGCACTCTCACTCTCAAATTTCGCAAAATATTCTTCTGCATGCTCAGTAATGTCTTCTTTAACTAGAATCTCAGTTGATTAGTCTTCAATATTAATATTTCTGCTTTCTGAGATTAATGATGTGAGAGGTGTTGGAGTATTTTCAATCATAAAGTTCAAGTGATATTACAGAAGATGCTTTTTGTACAAGTATCTTCTGGCTCGTTCCCGAGCTAGATATAACCCAGGAACTAGTTACACTGGTCCAGTTCTTCTTCTGTAACCAGAACTGGTGTAACTTGTGCCTGAGCTATGTCTAGCTCAGATACTAGCCAGAAGGTACTCTTACAAAAAGAACATTCTGTAGAAAATACTATTTCTCTCTCAAAAACCGAAATTTGAGAGATCATTATATTTTGACTTGATCAGTTTATAAACTTTTGAAATAGGTTCACTAAAGAAAAGGATTTGCTCTCTATTTATTGGCATAATATCTGTAGAAGGAATAAAGATCCTAGCTTGCTTATATTCTTTCACAACACAAGAAGTAGTCTTATGAATAAAGCTTAAGAAAGTATTGCTTTGAGAAACTAACTTCAAAATAATAAACACAAATCCAGCAACCTCTGAAACATCGGACATAATATTAGAAGAAGCTGCAGCAATAAAACCTTATTAAGAGGACTTCCAGTGTTAATATCTGGATTTCGAATAACATTTGGCCTGCAGAAGATGTAAGAGCGTAAGCATACTAACTATCATCTCTCACTTTTGATTTTTTCTCTCCCATTGTTCAAGTTTATGAACACTGTGTATACTTTTCCCGATCAAGTTCAGAAGGATAAAAAAAATGAACTTTTACTAAATATAGATTACTGTAATCAATTTTTCCCAAATTATGTATGCTTTATGCAGATTGATGGGTGTGAAATTAATATACCAGCCTTGATCGTTTCCAAAGTAGTTAATTTGAGATTCTGATTTAATCCATCTTCATTCATAGAATTTTCTTGCAGAGAGAAGTCTAGTGGAACTGAGCACAGTATTTGAAAATTCTCTAATTGATTCTATACCTTGATATATGCGATTATCAAAAGAATAATATGCACCAAGAGTTAGATATTGAGAGTCGACTTCAACAAAATGCTCAAGGTCTGAGTTAAACATACTATAAATATAATCTCTTTCATAGAACAATACGTGTCCGTAGTCAACGGGATCTCTTCGAATAGATACCGTCTCATTTAAATTAAAATCTAGGTCCGTCTTGAAGATCCCAATGAAAAGATCATTGCTTGCCTTATTTCTGAGTTGTTAAACAAAGTATAAATTGCTATCATTCGAACTTGATAGCAAAAAATAAAGAGTTTTCGAATAGTAAACTGACTATCTACTCTCTTTAGCATCAATAGAGTCAGTGTTTCTTCTATAGTGCATGCTTCCTCACTCCTTCACACAAAGGGTATCCAAAACATTCAAACTACAGCTTTCACCATAACATCAATATTAAGATTATATAAACTAGTCAAATTGGAATATTGGCTTAGGGGTTTTGGGGTTTTGGGGTTTTGGGGTTTTGGGG